AAGGTTGACTGGAAGGACATCTGGTCTAATTAGCATATTATGCTTTTATTATTATAGATTGCTTGCACATATGGCGCACTTTAGTAGCCCTGGGCTAGTGAGGTCTTTAGAGCTGGACCCCTGAGATGGGAATGGATGAGGGGGTTTGTGGTTCTTGGTATGTAAGGATAAGCTGCCAACTCTAAGGCTTGAATAAAGCTACATTTGTAAAGCAAAAACAATTACAAAATGTCTATCTATAAGTATGAGGGGGAAAATAATATATATAATCCAATCCAAAGGCAATCTGGTGGATGTCTATTGCTTTTATTTTCTCAGGGCCACATCTCTTTTGGAGGACAAGTAGGTCACAGGCGCAGGCAGCTCTTTCCAAGTTGAACCAGTCATTATGCTTTTCCACCACCAGTTATTGACCAAAGGAGAATCATTACTAATTTATATGGTGTCTTTCTTTATGTGAATTTGAAAATGATTTTGTTTCCTGAAGACACTTTACTTCCAGGTAGCAGAAAAATTATAATATACAGAGATTTTTGTTAAAATAACTCATTTTACTGCCACCTTCTGGAAAAGCAGGTAATTAAATTTGTTGACCCTTGAACAACTCTGGGGGTTTGGGGCACTGAGGCCCCTGGCAGTTATAAACCCACTTAAAACTTTTTGACTTGACAGAATTCTTTGATTCATCCAACCATGAATTGAAAACAGTATTTTCCATCTATGGATGGGAATATTCAGTGAGGAATTAAAAAAATACTGTTTTTGATCCATGGTTGATTAAATTTATAGATGTGAAACCCACAAATATGAAGGGCTTTAAATATGACCATAGGTGGACCTGCACAGTTCAAATCTATGTTGTTCAAGAGTCAACTGTATAAAATGTATGCATTTTCTGTAAGAATGGCACAGCTGAAATAGCAGCTTTGCAATGGACCCAGTCACAGTGATTGACTGAGGTGTATGGCCATGCCCTAAGTTAGACCTATCAAAGTTTCCTCCTGGGAGCTGGCTGTAATGATCTCTTTCTTTTCTAATTGCAAGATTTTGAAGATGTGAACTAGGGGCCAAGGTTAACCTTATGGAAAAACTGTGTAAGGTAAAGAAGCCAGTCCACCAAATGGTGATGGTATATAGAGACAGAAAGAAATAGTCCTAGAAATTCTGACTCCAATACTATTTGAAGATATTGCAATCCTAGCCTTCTATTGTTCAGCTGTGAGACAATTTCCTTTATTAATATAGGCAAAGTTTAGTTTCTGTCATATGGATAAAGGTTAAAAAAAAAAAAAAAACACCTCAAGTATATATTGACTTTGAAGGTCAGATAAAATAAATTGACTACAGTTGGAAAAGAGGGCAAGAGGGCAGTAATCTCACTTTATATTAGAGTCATGTGAAAAGTTATCTAATTGTTCCAGCTGAGAGTATTGCTAAAACTCATGGCATATCTATTTCATAGCGTAGATTTTTGCCTAGAGTCGTCATTTAAAAAGTAATTTTGAGGAGTCCCATATCCTTGTGCAGCATCCACATAAAATTCATAATAAATTAGGTTAATTTCTACTGTTAAAACTTTTATTTGTTGAATTAAGTTAATCTTAAAATACACAGAAATGGCAACACTTTATTGATTCATTTGTTTCCTTTCCAAGTATTTATTGAGCAGCTACCTTGCCATAAACACAGTTCTAATTACTCAGGATACTATAATGAGTATTTGTATTTAAACTTCTAGATCACTTTTTTGTTTTGTTTTTACCAATATGCATCTATCATAGGTAGCCATCATGCCAAAAGCAATTGCTACATAAAAAGGAGACATTCTCCAGACAAAATATATGAGTTAACATGGGATTCCAGCTCCCAATTGTGTTCCCTAGATGTGAAACATAATATAAAGTGATACAACTATTAATAGATGATCTTTAAGGCTTATTCTAGCTAAAATGAAATCTGAAGGTTTTTTTTTTAACTTACTGAACGTGGTCCATTTCCAGGAGTCTAGAAACTGGTTAAATTACAAATTGCAAACTCTATCCCAGACAAGCTGGATTACATACCCTAAGTGGTGCGGTCCAGCAATCTGTTTTAATAAGCTCTAATGTATACCAAAGTTTGAGAACCTCTGCCAGACCTACACAATATGTAAATAATCAGTGTATATGAGGATAAATTTTCTAATTTCCTCTTTGTTGCATTTCAACAACATTTTCTCTTTTAGGCTTTCATGTCCTTCTCTGCCATTCTCCACCCCCATCCTACAGTTAAAGCTATTTTGATCAGATAATGCTGTCATCCCCTCCCCTTTAAGTTTTCAAACAGATCTAATAACATCATTAACTTTTACAAACACAAATTAAGTTCACACAAAAGAAAAAGAAAGAAAACCAAGTCTCTGTTGAGAATGATACTATGCATGTCTACTTTTCTTGAGAACTGATGAGTGTTATTAGGGTGGTATATCAATAAGAGCCACTGCGAACAAAAATGGGACAAAATATTTTGGGAATACTGCTGAACTCTTTGTGAATTAAAAATCATGTCAGTGTCATAGCATTTCCTTGTGTAGGTTATTAGAGATCAATTGCAATATATATTACACACACACACACACACACACACACACACACACACAAGAATACTTTTAAATGCTTGTAACTAAAAAAAAGATATCAGATGATCTCCTATAATTATCCAAACTTTCCTATTGCAAAACTCAGAAAATGATGACTAAAGAAAGAATAAAATGCTAGGCACACAATCACTTCTATACGTAAGACCTTTCTTTTCTATTTAGAAATATTTGTTCTAAGTTAAGTGATATGGTTTGGATATGCATTCATTTGCAGCTATGTTTATGGGCAAATTCATCAGACAGTTTATTAGGTATCACTTTTATAAAACAAACATATATGCCTCCTTCCCTGTGGGATCCCTTAACATGACACGAGTGGTTCAAGGCCCACTCAGGGTCAGGTTTCTGGAGAAGGCCGCACACTAAAATGGAGACTGGAAAAGAGTTAATTTGGGAAAATGGGGGGCCAGGCAGGAGTCCACCTCTAGTGGGAAGACTACAACTAGGATCTGGTCCTGCTATCCCTTTTATTGAAGCTATGGGATACACCCATTACCCTTAAGCAGGTTTGGGAAACACCCATAGCCCTTAGGCAGGTAATAAGCAGATTATCATATCAGTAAGGATTTACATGATTACAAGATGGGGAAGTTGCCTCAGTTACTATTGTCTCAATTAGATAGGGAGTGGTTGGCTCTGAGGCTCTGACCTTTCAGAGCTTCAAGGTTGACTAGCCTTTTACATCTTTCTATTAATGAGACAATTATTGGTTTCCGGCAATTCCCCTCAATATTTTTAACTCTGTATATAAAATTTCCTCTTTTCTGAATATTTTACCCATGCTGCTTAATGCCTGGAAGATAGTGATAATACTGCTGCTGGGATCCTACTAGCTTTACAGTTTGCGTTTGGATGCCAATTTTAACTTTTCCTTTTCAGTTAATTCCATTCTGCATTTAGATATAGATATAGATAGATGATAGCCATTACTTAGGAGTAAATGGTAATGTGGGTGTGGATGGTATGTTTTAGAGAAATAAGTATAATTGGATTTTAAGCCAGAATAGTTTGGTTCATTAATAATAAATATTATAGGACAATAAACTTTTTTCAGTCTTTAGTGAATTCATAGTATCATGGAAATATTCTTATACTGTAAAATGGTTATTTTATCAGTGGGAAGGAAAACACCCATTTCCTCTTCTTCAATATTCTTCCCTGAAGTCATTCTATTTTGAGGTTTTGGAGTTTTCCTACTCACTTGCTTATTATTGAAAGTCAAATATTCAAATCTAGAGGAGCAGCACCTTCTCATCTCTCTCATATTATCTCCTATAATTTCTGACCATTCATCTTTATTCAGATGCAAAAAGTAAGAATATCATTAAAGATCAGGAATTTCCCGTGTGGGAGTTTGTAACCATGGTACAATTATTTCTACTGTTACATCTTTATCAAATGAAGAAGGACCTGCAGAGATAAAATAACTTAAAAATATTTTATCCCAACCTCAAAGAACTGAAGCATATTTTTCATTTAACACTTGTAATTACTTCTTCTCTTTTCTCCTCTCCAATTTGCTTACTGCACACTGGCTCTTTTATTCTTTCTTGATTGTAATTCCCTTCCAGCAGCCTCTGTTTTCCACCTTCTATTTCCACTGATTTTTTTTCAATGCTGTTATTCAACACCACTTCTAAGTTTCTATTTCTAATTTTGTTGTCTCCTTTTCTATTTCCTATTTCACATATGACTCCCAAAGATTGTGTCAAGATGAATAGTTCAGAACGAAGACAGTGACTGATTAGGAGGGGCTTAAGGAACTGAGAAGAGGAGAACAGTCAGGATTTTCTTCATGCAACAGAAGTGTGTTGGGTAGACCTGGCCTGTGAGAAGCAAGAAGCAGAAAGCCCTACTAAGACATGACCAGAATTCAAAACCTATTAAAATAACCATTTAGAGAAGTGTGCCCAGTCTGCCAGGTCAGTAGCTAATAACCCGTGGGTTTGCTACTAAGGAAATTAAAACTTAGGTAATGAAAATGGTAGCTACCTACTGAGAATGGAACTGAAGGCTTTCCATTAATTCCCCTCCCTGGGTCCTTTTGACAGAACCATCAGGAAGTTATTTCCTATTTATTTAATAGCAAGAGGTTTGAAATCGAGGGAGGGAAAGGAAAAGGGAAGAAAAGTCCCAGGCAAGCTCTTATTCAGCTCCTTCCAGAGGAGAACCAAACAGGGTACTTTTCTCCTCTGGCCAAAACATACCTCAGCATAGGTCATGAAAAGAGGAAGGACAGTTAAAAAAAAAACAAAAAAAAACAAAAAAAAAATAGAAAGAAAAAACAAAAACAAAAAAGGATCGCTGTCCCAGATAAGTACAGCCAAGATGACTCAGACTCAGAAATCCAGGGGATTTTTGGTGTGGGGACTTCAAATTAATAAACCCGCTGTTCGTCTTGCCCAATCCACAGGGTTGGGCAATCTCTTTCAAGAACCCTGCTGGACCTCATGATCCCAGGGGCTGAGCGGTGGCTCCTTATTTCTGCAGAAGCCAGAACACCTCTGTGGGATGCTGAGTCCCTCTGAGCATGACTGGAGGCCTTCGGGGCATACTTTGGTCCTGCATCAACACATAGGGTCGCTTTACTGACCCTGAATCCAACTCTTGACCCGAGGCATGCGACTTTCTGAATTGATCTGAAAGCCTGGTGGGTCTCCTGCTAGGGGTGGAGCAGAGGGAATCTAGTCTAGATGTGAGCAGACAGACAGACAGCAGGCTGCAGGGAGTAGGGCTTTTCAGGATCCAGACGAGGGGGTGGGCAAGGCAGGAACTTGTCTCCCGGCTCGCTGAGAGGCCCAGGGGTTCTGGGAGAGACCCCGGAGGGCAGCGCCGCCGCGGGGGCTGCAGCGGACAGGACAGCCGCGGGCGCCGCGGCCGGGGCATCCCCACGCGGGGCGGGGAGCGCGGGCGGCGGAGGGCGGAGGCGCAGGCGCGCTGCTCCCCGCCCGCAGCCCCGCGCCGAGCGCCGCGTCTCGGGGAGTTGATGGCAGCACCGTGGCGCGGCCACCGGGCTGAGCGCCGAGCGCAGCCTCCCGCCGCCGCCGCTCCGAGCGCGGCCAGGATGTGGGGGGACCGGGGCGGCAGCGCCAGGGACCGGGGCGCGCAGCAGCCTCCGCTCGCCCGCCTGCTCCGCTGAGCGGCCCCCGCGCGGCCCCGGAGAATGTCCTCCAAGCCCAAGGGGACCCCCTCCTCGTCCTCTCTCGCCGCCGAGGGGCCGCCGGCGGGCTCCAAGACCAAGGTGAAGGAACAGATCAAGATCATCGTGGAGGACCTGGAACTGGTCCTGGGCGACCTGAAGGACGTGGCCAAGGAACTCAAGGAGGTGAGAGGCGCCCGGGGTGGGGAGGAAGGGGGTTCGCTCCGCTTGGGGGGGTCCCCTTGGGGTGCCGGTCCGGTTTTCACTGGGGACCGCCCGCCCGGGTTTTTTAATTCCAAGGAAACTATTCGTGAGAAGCCTGCAAGACAGACTTTGTTTGCTTGCTCCGGCGACTTCTGGGAAGAGTTGCTGTACTTTTTTTGAAAAAAAAAAAAAAAATCAGGAGGAAATCAACTAGTGTTTTAATCGATGGACCTGGGATGGTGGGAGGGGTGCGCGCGCCTGTCTCCGTGTAATGTCGGGGGAGGGGGAGACGGGGGTGTGTCGACAGAGGGAGAAATGAGCAACCCGGCCCGGAGCGTGTGTGCGAGATGCTCCTCTCCTGCCCTCTTGCTCACTTGGGGTCCTTTGGCGAGTTGTCCCAGCCTGGCAGCCTCTCCAAACCGGGGATGAAGGGGGGCCGGGCTCCGGGCCCGGGGCCAGGCCGGGGAGGGCAGCCTGGGGGGAGCTGGGCTCCAGCTCTCCCCCCCCTGCCTGCTGAGCCGCGCTGGAAAGAAGGAACCCGGTGGCTGGCAGGAGAGCCCAGACTTGGGGGTGTGGAGGGGGTCTGGGACTTTCTCACTTTCGCAGTTTCGGAGAATGTCCCTCCTAGTAACTCCGGGCCTCTCCTCCACCCCCTTCCTTCTTTCTCCCACTTGGCATGGAACCTGGGGAGCTTGGCGCATCCGTGGTGTGTGTGTGTGTGTGTGTGTGTGTGTGGTGTGTGTGTGGTGTGTGTGTGTGTGTGTGTGTGTGTGAGGGTCTTGCCACTTGCTCTTGGGAACCATCCGGGACTGTTTGGTTCTTGCCCGCTGCTCCCATCTACTATTCCACTCCTGCCCTCCCACCTCCGGAGAGAAAGAAGCAGAAGCGGAGGCAGTATCTGGGCTGAGCTTCCTGGCTGAGGCTGCTGCTCCAGCCCGGGGCGCAGACTGGCTTCGGAGGGGTGGGTCTCAGGAGCCGGCTGGCAGCTGGTGGAGTCCAGAGCTGGTGGCAGAGCCCAAGCCCACTGTGCTGCTGCCTGCGAACGGGCGCCGGTGTGCTGCTGCTCCGTCTGGGAGTCTGCACCCCGCGGATGCTCCAGAGCTAAGGCTGTAACTTCTGAGGTGGTGGTGGTGGTGCAGGGGCGGGAAGGGAAAGGGTGGGGATTTTTAGTCTAGGTCCAAAATTGTAATCTTGCTTCTGAGACCCAGTGGGAGGAAACTGAAGGTTGTTTGGATGTCTGGCCTCTAGAGATTAACCTCCCCTGTCCAGCTTCCAACCCAAACGTGAGGAAAGAGTGCTCTCATCGCCCACCCCCACCCGCCCTTCCTCTCCCAGCCCCCCTTACCTCTATGACCAAATGCAAGTCTGTTAAAATGGCCCATTCATAGGCAGAGTTCTGTTTTGCCGCGGCACATGCCATTCCTGTAGGTGTTCCACAGACAGAACGTAATTCCTACTGCGGTCTTGGGAGTGGAGACTGATACAGCTGATAGATGTGAGGATAAAACTTGTTCATGTTTGCAGGGCTTCTCCAGGATCATTACTTCACAACTGGTTGACAGATGGCGAGTTGATGCATTGAAATTCAAGTCTAAAGATGCTGTTCATTTCTTTGTTATCCTTTCATTTGACATTTTTGGCAAGCTGTGTTTTCATCTGAAACATTATGGCGTTGTAAAAATGAACAAATTTGGGCATGTTCCCCTTGGCAGAATTGTGCTTTATAGTTGTTGAGGTTTCTAAGGGGGGAGGGGGGTGGCATGTGGGAAACCTACATCAGCACATAACATATTTACTGTCTTATGGAGGAGGTTGGGCTTAAGAGAAAGGTAGTCAATCAAATTCTGCATCTCCGGGCACATCCTTTCTTATGATGTGTCACTTCATTCCCTACTTGAGACAAAATAAATGACAAGATACTGCACATGGTCTTGGCGCTGTCTTGCCTCATTATTCTGTAAATATTGGGAGATCATGGAGAGCTATAGTGAAACTTTTAACCTCCCTAAGGCTCTTGGTTAGAATCACAAAGAACTAAATCAAGGAGTCGGTGAATATCTCTTCCTTTTATTCTTTCTGTGTTTTCATTTACTGGAGAATATTTAAGGGGGAAACAGGTAGTTTATAAAAGGAATGAAAAAGCACAGATAATGTGCAACCTAGAGATCAAATTTTGCTTGATGCTTTGGTAGTTTGATTGGCTGCCAGGGCCTGTTGGGGTAAAAGTCTCACCCCTGAGAGTGAAATTTATGAGTGATAAATGATGTGCAGTGATTGTTAATTATTTTTGTGAGGATGTCATCAGCCTAGGTCTGCAGATGGAATTGTATTATAGTATGGCTGAAACTGGAAACATTGGCTATTTATACAATATAATGATAGGTATTTTGAGAACAAAATATTTATAGAGCATATTTAACCTGTAACCTTTTGCAGTTGTCCAGCATTTATCTTTTAAAGATAACACGGCACATGTGACTGAAAATATCTTTGATGTAGTTTTTAACAGAGGAGTAACGAAAACTTTGTAAATTATAAAGTTTATTGGTCTCTATAGTTATGACTTATAAATATAAGTGTCACTATAAATTCATCAGTTGTTATTCTCAACATCCTGACAGTTTATCGTTGCCATTTATTAAATATAAACTCATATTTAGAATTCTAATTCCTTTATTGGCAAGGCTGTGCTTTTAGGCCTTGGTATATTTTGATACAAGTGAGCAGAGAACTCTTATTAAATTAAAACAGAAGTCAGAAATTAAAAAATTATTATGACTAGATCGCTATATCAATGAACATAAGATATTTGTTTTACTTTTCCGCTTTTTTATTCTATCTAAAATGTAACATATTTTTTAAATATTCTGCTTTCTATTTTTGCATACTAAACTCTTCAACAGTATTAGACTTTTGTTTCAGATTATTTTGAAATTGGTTTTCTTTTTTAGAAGTTTTCTGCACTTTATTTAACCTGAAAATTCAGCTATTATGGTTGATTTCAACATCATAGTAGCTTATTGCAATGCCAATAATCAGTAACAAAATTCCATTATTACTTTGGGTGTTTTTTATGACTGGTCATTTCAGAATTACTTAATCATTTATAATTAGATTATATATTGAAAGAAGAGGAACAGGATTTCTATAAAGTTTAAGATCAATTTTATTCTGTTCTCAGAATTTAGTGAAACCTCAAATAACTTGACTTTTCAGAAACAATAGGGTTGTATTGGTCTTTTGTACTACCGTGTTTCCCCGAAAATAAGACATCCTCCGAAAATAAGACCTACTTACAGGTTTCCTTCTGAGTGAAATATAAGGCATCCCTCGAAAATAAGCCTGCACCCCCTCCCAGGCTAAACATGAGAGATTTGGTCCACTGATTCTGAAAGAAATGGAGTCACATGAAATTTACCAGGAAATTCAGGAATTGGATTGTTATGATGATGTTCCAGAAGATGATGACATGATTGTCATTGAATAAATGAGTAAATTCTTGATACTGTAGGATTCACAATTTGTCTGGTTTGTGTTGACAACTAACGTACTACTGTACCATATATAGGTAATAAATTTCCTTTATTTTCATTTAACAATAAATGTGTACCATATTCTTCCTCATGGAAAGATAAGACATCCCCTGAAAATAAGACCTAGCGCATCTTTGGGAGCAAAAATTAATATAAGACACTGTCTTATTTTCCAGGAAACAGGGTATAATGGAAAGCCTTAATATAATTCAGGCTATTTATTCAGCAACTGCTATATGCTATATTATCTTTTAGTGTTACCAAGATGAATAAATTATAATTTCTAGTCTCAGTGTGCTCAAAAGATTAGTTTGTGATGCATTTATTATATCTTTAACATCAATAGCGTAAAAAGGCATTACTGCTTTTAGTGGCCACTCTCACCATGATCTAATAGGGGGAAGAAAGCAGAATTGAGAATAAGAGTGAGTATATGTAGATGAATAAACCATTACTTCCTATGTACTTAATAGTATGATAAGCCTTTGATGAAAAGAAGGTTTAATAAAAATGGTGAGATATGAATTTTAAGAAACTATTAATATTTATTCAGATTCCCATGATTAACACAAAAAGATCAATGCCATATACAAGAGATCCCAAGTGTTATAACTAAATACTGGATATTTTTATGAAGGATAAGTTCTTGGGGAAATGGAAGGTCAAAAAGAAAAATTTTGGATCTTCCTTCCTTTGAGATGTGGATAAGATTTGAAAAGAGAGAGAGGAGAAGGAATTTACAGGAAATAGAAATAGGATTGAATAGGGAGTTAATATAAGATTAATCCATGTTCCTTTTTTCTACACTGAAAAAAAAATAGTGGCAAAACTCTAGAGTTTTAGGGATAAAATTAACTATTGCTGGTTTTTAGATGTGGGATCATCCATTTTTAGAAATGTAGAAAACAGACCCATTGCTTTTTAAAAATAGTTCTCAAATAACCTGCATCTCTAGAAACCAATTTGGCCTGTTCTTTTATAAAGAACTCACTGGTGAACTGTTTTGCATCAAATGTTGGTGTTAATGTGGGATCACAGATCTCATTAGTTAGAGAGAAATTGAAATATGTAATAAACAGCCTTTGATTTGGAATCAAAATTCATTGCTGCTTTAGATGAATTCTATTTTAGTTTAAACTGATTATAACCTGGAAAATTTTTACAGTGTTTCAATTTATAATTTTAACTGACAAGGTTGCTCTGTGGGTTGAAGATATCTATAATAATAAAAGTGTAATATGCTAATTAGACCAGAGGTCCTTCTGGATGACCTTCCAGACAAAGCCAGGATTGCAAGGGCCAAGGCAGTCTGCCCTGGCTGTGAGGGAAGCCAGTGCCAGCAGCCAGGGGAATGAAGGCCTACTCTTGCAGGAATTTCACACATCGGGCCTCTAGTATATATATACACACACATGGCTAAACCTTGTGAGTAGACAGAAGTATCATGTA